ACCTTTTAGGGGTCAAAAAAGCAGTTTTGGTATCTCTTAGGGTGTTCAGCCTCAAAAGATCCACAGCGGGAGCTTCTACGTTACCTTTTAGGGTATTGAGCCCAAATGAAAATGACAGGAGATAATGTTTTGTTTTAGAATTGGTGCCTCTTAGGGGTGAAAAAAATTCAAGCTACACCCACAAAACAGGATCTTGGTACCTCTTAGGGGTTCTTTTCAAAATTTCTGACAAGCAACCCCTTCCTCTCTATATGGGAGTCTCCCCCTGCCTCCTCCCTGGGGTTTGAGCCCTTGCTTAGATATTTTATGTTCTTGGGCAAGACACTGACTCTGTCTGGGTACTGGTAAATTAAAACACTGAGGGTAACCTTACAATAGACTAGCATCCTATCCAGGGCTGGAGTAGAAATATTTCTGGTAACCTCATGTTTAGAAACTAGGTTAAAATGGAAACTGCTGTTAGATAATCTGAATTTTTACTAGGCACAGGAAAACCTTGGAATGGCAATGGTCTTCACAATAGTATCAGCTGCACAAGAGAAACTTACTGAGTTCATGAATAAGTTAAAAAATAACAAAGAAGATGAGAAGTTAAGAAAAGAGAAAGAAGCAGAGGAAGCCGAAAGAGCTAAATTTACAGGAACACCAGTTACACTAGAGACATTTGTTGCATGGAGAAAAACTTTTGAGCAAGAAATGATCAAAACTAAAGTGAATAAAGAAGAAACATTTAAAGGCAAACTAACAGGTAGGGAGCCTTTAAAGAATGCAAATAATGTACTGAACTTATATTGACTATACGAGGTTCCAAATAAAATAATTTGAAAACTTTTAACCTGAATTTGTTGGGCTTTTTCCTTGGCTTTTTCCTTGGCTTTTTCCTTGGCTTTTTCATTTGGGCTTTTTCCCCTTGGCTTCCTCTCATGCTTTGAGAGGAAGCCAACAATGTCAGTGACATCGCATCAAGATCAGTATATAACACAGAAGTCACATTCTATTGGTTGCTTTGATATTTTAAAGGGAAATTGAGATTGTTTCACATTCCTCTCACTGTTGGCTTTTTGTAATATCTGAGCACTAAAGAATCGGCTACGAATAGTTTCCTGATTCTTACTTTCACATTGCCTAGCATTTGATCTATTTCTTCCCTGAATGGAAATTATATTTTCTTTCAAGAGAGATCGTAACAGTAAGCATATTACTAATTCAAGCTTTTACAGTCAAACTCAGTGACCGATTGAATACATCCGTGTTCTGAGATTTTTGTGGTTGAAGATCTCGCTTGTGATTGGTTATAACAGAATAAACATTCCAGACATATTTTAGGTGTTCACAGTTTTCTGAGTTTGACTGTAATTGTGGCTGTGTGAACTTTTAGGAGAAAAAGGTCATCACCATACCCACTCCTTTCAAGTGACAACCCTTCCCTCCAACCATTATGGTCTCACTATCATTAATTTTAAAGATCAGCAGTCAACTAATTTAGTCAAAAGGGAAATGCAACATTGGTGTCCACATCAAACCAATCTTCCAACGAGGAAGAATATTGGTCAAGCCCTCTCCCCAAAAGAGAAGTAGCTTCCCATTGGTAACAATCAATGCATGGTCTATAAATTTAAATGTAATATTTCTGATGCAGATTGTGTTGGGTAGACTCCCTGACATTTACACCACTGCATAAGCCAACACAAACATTCAGCAATAGGCAGGCATCTAGAGGAACACTGGTCAGCCTGAAATGTTGGTCATTTTCCACCCTCAGATTACCCCCCAGATGAGAGACAGCTCTCGCCTGTGGGTAATGCTGAGGGCGGGAAATGGCTGATACTTGAGGCTAGAGGAACATGGACTATGAAAGTCTGCTTTGGAAGACAAATAATTTTTCAATTTTCCAGTTGGAGAAATGTAGATCTAAGTTTGATTGCTTAGTTTTTGAAATGCTATTCAGGAATTGAACCCTGGTTTAAATACTCAAAAAGTCTGCACTCTTTTGCTTGCAAATATATTATTGCATGTTACTTTATCTTTGATTTCTTCATATTAGTGTCCCTTAATAATTCTCAGTTTATATTTATATTCATATTCATTTTGTTTACTTTGACTTGAAATCATAACCATGTGAAGCGAATGTTGAAACATTTTGCTAATTCCAACCAAAATTGTTTTAAGTTTTTCAGTTTTATCGAAGTGTTTCATAATTTGTAATCATTATTTTTGTATTCACTGGTAGGTAGGCAACTCTTTGAGCAAGATGCTTCAATGGAAAATTCAGATGCAATATTCCTTGAAAGTAAGTTTTTCTTTTCTTTTTTACAAAATAATTATGTCATCTAAGACTAAGCTCTGGTTTCAAGAGGCGGAGCTTGAATGAAGGTTCTCTCTTTCTTTTTCTGCTGAAAAGATGGGGGAGGCAAACATTTTTGGCTCTTAAAATCATTTTTTTCTCAGTAATAAGGGATCCTGCCCCTTGATCCACTCCCTGCATGTAGATCTTTCTCTGCTTACAAACTGTGAAGGCCAGGAACACAGGCATTGCAATACCTAAGTGTAGCTGATGCTCATCTGTTAACAATATTCTGCTGTTTTGCATTTAGGTGAAGTAAAAGTAGATGAATCTCTTTTCCAAGAAATGGATGACTTAGACCTTGATGATGAGGATATAGAATAAAGCAATTATTTTTTTACATTGTTGAGTTTTCATTTTCTATGGTAGAGGAGAGGGATCAAGGGACTGGGCTGGGATTTTTGAAAACTGATTAACACCAATTTGGGATCAAAAGTGTCACAGATTTATATGTGTGTCATTTCAAAGCTTTTTCAGTGAATTGTATTGTTT